GGAGTTGTGGATATTTTGTGCTTGTGAAAATTGGGTCAGGAGGATGCTTCCATGTATCTCCCTGTAGAGTTCTTCTGCAAAGCCTCCAGTGCTGTTTGAACACTGTTGACTGAGGGAGATTTCACCCGAGAACATGACTGGATTTGAGTGGACAAAAAATAATAGTGTGGACATATTGCTGATTTATGTTCTGTTTTTCAGGATTCACAGGATTTGCTAACTGGCTCACAATTTAACTTCAGTATCTACAAATACAAACACTATCGGTGGCAGAAACGAATTTTGCAGGTAACTTTAAAAATTCTCACTTTTGAAGAAATATATAAAAGATATAGGATGCTTATGTTGCTCAATAAATGTTATGAGATAGCTTAATACATCCTGTGGTTCAGCAACCTATCTGAGAGGTGCAAGATATTAACCAACTTTCTACCTTTTACATCAAATGTATTCTGGGGATAATATCTGAAAATCCCTCTGCTGAGCCCCTGGCAGGGCTGTAGAATGGACTTGCTGATCTAAGAGGTTATTTCACCTCTAAAAAACATGATTCATCACAAAGATGATTGATTATAATAGGCTCTGCCTGGGAGTTGTTCCTATTAGTTAGCAACAGTAAATGCATACAAGTGACGTAGACGTACTTAAATATCTGTCCCTTTTGACAGGACGTCACTTCAACTGCAATCTCTAAAACCTTGGGAAGCAATGTTCCTGGGGATATGCAGAAGGCTCCTTTGGCAGGCTATACATTTCATCTCTGGTCACTCTGTCCTGTGAATTCTTTTTTTGACATTATGAACCCTTAAGGCTTTATTGACTTGCTGTGTCATAATGGGACAATACTCGAATGATATTAAAACAGACTTCTTGTCGATAACATCTGATGGTGATTTCCTGATTCCATGAAGTTAGTGACAAAGGTTTCATGTTGTTTCCAAGGACCTGGATTTCACTGAATTTTTCCTGCAGTTTGGACAAAATTTGATAATGATCAAGTCCAAGTCATACATGCTAGAGGACTACATCTCAATTGTAGAAAGTATAATCTCCTTATTTCCCTCAATAGCCATCCATTTTTGGAATTAAAAGATTGTTTAGACATAAAGCTGATGGAAAAATGGAGAAAGCTATATTAGATGTGGAAGTTATCAGCTGGGGAATCTGCAGTAGTTTAATTCCAGTTCTCTAGTTACCAGCAGCCTTCAAAAGTCAGAGATAATAATGAGAATGGTTCTGCTTTGGAGATTTCCTGCTATAAACAGAATGGAGGGAAAGGCCACGGTATTAGCATTTGGTTGGCGCAGTCTGCACTATAGGAATGAAAGGTGCCAAGAATCATTTATGACCAAAGGTAAATAGCTAACTCAGGCAAGATCTGAGACTCTTCTCTGTGGGCCGCGTTCACTGAAGCTGGGCAGTCAGATAATATTCACATCTTATTGTATCAACAAAGCTGCTTCTGCTCAGCAGGGACTGACACATAGAACATAGAACAGATACTGGAATCTGTCTGTACCAGTTTTTAACACTGTAAATATAGATTGTGCAGTGGAAGAAGAATAATCTTATTTTGAAGCAAACAATTTTTAATTGTTATAGCTGTGAAACAGCAATAAAAAACTTTATGGGCTATTATAATTGCTCCTTTCACCTGTATGTACACATATATGTGTATATTTACGTACAGACAAAAAAAAAAAATCTGATAAGATCTAAACCAAAACACAGTAATAGTTATATCAGAAAGTAATGTCTCAATAGTATCCTCTTTTCCTGACACAAATGCAACTATTATAAAAATAACCACCTTCACTTCATTTTAGTACTGGGGCATAGGTTGAACCAGTTAGTAATTGAATCTCTGCTGAGATGGTCATGCCGTTAGTTTGTGCTACCACTACTGCTGAACGGGAAGTTTTTGCACTGGGTTGTATAAGACAAGGAGAATTTAAAACGAAATAATATTTCAGAGTGATAAATTGATGCATATTCATCAAAAGAGATAGAGAAACAGCGTTACAATGAATATCTGTTTGTTTTGTAACTAAAACAAATATAGTACAGTATCTTGATGATGGAATGTCATTTTTTATTCTATTCATCGGCAAGATAGATACATATTCTAAGCTGGTCCTTTCTCTAAATGCCCTTGCATGGTAATATTGGGGATGCTGTCTTTCCTTTTCAATGAAGAGAAGTGATGGAATCAAGTAACGAAGAACTTTCTATTCCAGATTGATTTCAACACAAAAACCATTTTTAACATTGAAAAAGGAATTATTAAGAAACAGTTCCCTTTCTCACAAGTCAAAGCCTGTGAAGATACTGAAAGGAGGCGCTTCAGCATTGTGTTTCATGGGCGACAAGATTATGAGCTGGAAGCAGTGTCTCTTGATGATAAAAGGAAGGTAAGTCTTTACAATGTCATAGACAGATTGCTATAAATAACAGCTGATGTTATGGTAGTACCCAGCAGGTCCCAATCATAAATGGGAATTGTTATGCTGTGCATTGTGCAAGCAAAGAAGTAGGTATGTCTTTATTCCGTGTATGTTCGTATGTAGAACAAAGGGAACGTGAGTGCAGGATGAAGTTTGGCCTTTGGATTTTGCCACAGTTCACTAGGACTGAAGATGTAAAGCAGCTCAAGATGTGATATGAAAGCGGATGCATTTCTTCAACTGCACCTTGAATGTAACTGGTCTGAGATTGTATTAAAACAAGCAAACAAAACTGACGACGTGCACAGTTGAATCTTAATTGAAATCTTCTAAGCATTTTTTTTTCTATATATATTTATTAAAATGCATGCCTTTAAGAAGGCTGAATGAGGCCATCCTGATGCTGTGAAAAGAAAAAGACCTAGTAGTTCATCTTTTAACGTCAAAATACACTGAAATTATAAAATTATCAGAGGAAGATGCCTAGGTACAACGAGATATTTGTTTAATTAAATGATTCAGTGTTGCAAGATTTTGTATGAGCTGTTTCATTTTGAAGTCTCAGCTTCCTTTGAGTTCTACGTTCAATTAAATATTCTGAGTAGTTAGTGTAATTAGACTCTACACTGAAACTTGAGAAACTGAAGTTATGACATTAGCACTAGCTTTTCACCTGAATGCAGATATCCCGTGTGTTCAGGGGTGATCAAGTCTTGGAGTTTATGTCATCCCACTGCTGAGGTGTTGAAGCCAGCTGCACAATTTAGGTTGAGATACAAACTCTCAAAAAGCATGGGAGAGTTTGCATCCAAACTTCTGATGTGACCCATTTTTAAGGGGCTTTTTGCAGAGGGATTCATCCCTCGTGAAACTTAATGGTTCGCTCCATGTGCAGAAACGTTTATTCCAGATGAATAGTACCTCATGGTTAATTAGCTAAATTTTCAAAATAGATTACATTTAGCAGAAGAGCTCAAAAAGGCACATGTGTTCTGTAGTATGAACACTCAAATATGGCCCTGTATAACAAAGAGTGCTTTAAATTCACGCCCACCTTAATCCATGCTATTTTCAACTGTAGGCAACCCTTCATTTTTCTGCTGGGTTTGTTTGAGATTTCAAGCTAAATCAATCAATTACTACGTGGGCTTGAACTGAGCTGAACAGAAACTTTGTCCTAGACTGCTTTGTATATGAATTAAAAAAGTAAAATTATGTTTTACAGTAACCCCTCCAGAATAAAATTACATTCTCCTTACACTGACAGGTTTAGAACTGTGGGCATAAAACCAAATTGCAGTTAAGTAGTTTAGCATCGTAGAAAGACCCTGTTTATTTTACGCTAATATATGTTACCTATTTGGCTCCTGCTTATAGTGTTGTCTATCATTTTTATACTTGAAAAATCCACCTATTAATGTCTTATTCAAGGGAATTAACATGGAAAATACACTCTCTCTGCTGCCACTTATTATATAGATAACATACCTTCTGAGCAGAGTTATACAGAGCAATTCATACAAGAGACCAGCAGAGTCCTGCTCTGGAAGACCTGCAGAATGTGACGTGATACATGAAGGACTGCTGGATTTGCAGCAAAACACTTTTACATCCACTGAATGGGTGAAGTACGAACTGCACTTTCGTAGACCTCTGGGTTGTGGATTTTGTTAAAATTTCTGATAAATACCTTCAGATTTTAATTTGCTGATAATAACTTAATTATTTAATTGTTTTTTAAAATTAAAACTTCGATGCCAGAACTGCATGAGATGAAAACATTGAAATTAACTATTAGCGCAATAGTGGTACCCAACAAAATGAAGTTCTGATGTGTGCTAGAGACTGTTGTGTGCGTTACTAACACAAATATATAATGGTGGTGGTGCTCAGAGTGATTTTAATGGTGGGACTTCTTTATGTTTACCTCTTTACTTTTTACTCCATTTTCAGTCATAAGGAAAAGGAGAAAAAGACTGGCAAAGCAGATAAGGAGTATAGGAGCCCTGCCAGAGAACATTGACTCACACTGGCCAAATGGCTGCCCCAAAATTCGTAATTCATTATCGTAATGTTCTGAACTTCCCTCCTGTGGGGGAGACCAACCATGCTGGCCTAATGGGGTGGTGGTTTCAGAGACAGGAATCCAGTAGGAAAAGGACTGTCACCACCATTTCATTCAGCCCCTAAACCATCATAGATAAGCATGACTTCTGCTTCCGCTTATTCTATTACTGAACTAGTGAACCAGCCACAATGATTTTACATAGTTTGCTACCCATCCCGCAGATGACCCACCCTTCCCATGAGCCAGCTTCTAAAATAGTTGGAAATTGGTTATACTATCAAAGGAGAGAAAGAGAGGGAAAAGAATATCTGTCTACCAAAAATTAATGAAAAAAAATTTAACATTGTAATTATCCGCACAGGGCAATTATCTCAAAAGACTTCACAGTTCACAGAAGATGATTTTAATTGTTTTTAAAAGGCTACCACTGCATGTCTTGTAAACACTATCCGCAAGCGTGTCCCAGGATTTGTTACCTTGCAACATTTAACAAGTTTGTTAACAAACAAAAATTGATTTTTATTTATCTTGTAAAGCAAAGCCCTTGCTGCTTTCTTCTTGATATTAATCCTCTCTTTTTTTTTTTTTTTTTTTTGGGCAAAGTAAATAATGGTGGAAACATCTGGAGATCTGATTAAACTATAAGTCCCTGCTTTAAAGAAAGGAGAGATCAATATAACTGCCAGCTCCATTAAACAATTCTTATCACTTTGACTGTTTATGTGGGAATAGATGCAATTTATATTTTATGTTTAATTCTTCTGGAGCAGCTAAACTTATTTAAATTCCTCATAGAACACCGTAATCAACTAGCCACACCTTGAAGAGAGAGTGGAGGAAAAGAAAGGTCTGATAGAACTGTCAGAATGATAAAGAAATGCAGTAACCCTCAAGAAAAATGAGAATGCAAATGCTTAAATAATAATAAAAGCCGCATACAGTAAAGCCCCACTTGTTGTTGAATGTGGGGCCTTTGTTATAAGCAGCAGAGAAGAATCCTAGAAGAGAGACTGAAGCAGAACATTTTGCTCTAATAGAAGCTACGTATGGGCAGGCAATTTGTGCCAGGATTAATTTATCATTTAAATAGGTAATACCCACACTTTGGCAGAGTCATTTCTGATGGAAGCCCTTGAGAGCAGAATACTTTGACCCCTTCCTGCCAAGCGAATCGTGGGAATGAGGGGGGACCAGGATCCGTCCTCATGGAGTAAGAGCATGTGCAGAGGCATTTCCAAGAGAGGGGGAGAGTTATTGGACTATAAGGTTGGGCACTAACTTATATTATGGTGACTTGTTTATAGCTTGGTGGCAGTAAAACCTGGAAGACACAGAAGCTCTGAAGCCGCCTCATATTATGCACTGCTCAGTCACATAATGAATTCCTTTAAAAGCTCATAGTCCTAAAGAGCCACCATTGCAAACAAACGAGAGGAATAAATAGAGTGGGAGGGACAGAACGTAGCTAACAAATTAACAGGACTTGTGTGATTTCCAGTTGATAGTCAGATCTTAGTTGTAGCGCTCTCATTAGGCATGGCAGGCTGGAAGTTCATATTTTATGTCACAGTTTACTTACGTGTCAGATGAGAATAAGAAGCCCTCAACTCAAAGGTTTTATGCTTTAGTATTGATACTTTTTGACTGTTCTATGGCAGATGCTATAAAAATGTGGAGATGTATTGACATTAGAAAATGCTTTAAAAAAGGCAAGGCTTGTGTAAATAAGTAGTCAGTGAAGAATGAACTGTATCTCCATTCCTTGTCCTTCAGGTACTTGGTACAACTACGTGAAGGAGAACTGACTTTATATTGCATAGGTCTGGGAGGAAAGAACAAGACTGCAGACCCTGTAACAAATACAATTAATTTGTCAGGTGGTAATGTGAGTGTCAACAAGGAGAATGGATGCAGTACCTTCTCAGTTCAGACCAAAGAACACAATTATTTGTAAGTATAGTTGGTAATTAATAATTTGTTAAAGCAGAACTACTGAAAACAAGGTCAAGCAACAGAGAACCTCAATGTCCCAGAACAAAATACAACAGTGGAGAAACAAGGCCATCAGAATTATATAGATTACCCCTTCCACTGATCTGCAGTGATTTGATGAGTATTTTAAGGAGGAATCAAAAGTACCACATTGTGGAATTGAGAAGGTACATTTAAATACTGCCCACAAAGACTTGTCTAGCTGTCATGTCAGGAGCCAGTGAACAGATACATCATTCAGTTTGACAGGACAGATGTGTGAACAGTTCTGACTAGCTTGTGCAACAAGCACAGTAAGATGTAGCACATTGTTCACCTTCCCCCAAGGTGGAGAAGAGGAATTACGAGGTAACTGCACCACAAAGTCAATATATGGCAAAACTTCAGCTCTCTAACCTTAGACACGTAAGCAATTAACTCTGTCTGAAAAGGTCAGAGTCAGCAGCACTGGGGTCCTTTGACAAGTAAAGCTGCTGAACATCATTCTGCTTAAATAAGAAATATCTGTGGCTGTATTAGTCAGCATGTTATTTACACTTCCTTGCGTTTATATATGACATTCTTAAATTTCAGGTTTCGAATACCCTTTACTGTCCAAAATAACAGGACAGAGGATGTTGGCAAGCTCCAGAATGAATGGGTGTCTCTCATAGAAAGGTACTGTCAGCTGTGCAAGGGTGCCTCACTGCCTCAGGAGGGATCTCAAGGATGCACCTCCTCCGAAGCTGATTATGAGGATTTCACTGTACCTCTGAATGAACAGAAAGACAAGGCCCTCCACTTTGGTGTGAGTTCTGCAACAACCAGTCTGAACAAGTCTTCAAGCCCCCAGACAAAGCCTGCAGAGGGGGAAGCAGCCCCAGCATCACCGTCTCTTCCACTTCCCATAAGTAAGGCAGAGGTACCG